GGGGATAGGCCTGCCACTTCCGCCTCTTATAGCCACTACTCTATCTGGCATTGTACTAACAGCCTTATTGATCTCTTGTGTCAGACAGCCCACAGCCTGATACAAATGGGCGAAGAAAAGACGTGAAAAGAACGAGTTCAAAATGTGTAAAAGAGAATGTAGATTTCTCTATCTTCTGCAGACGCTCATATGGCCTCTATTTGGCCGTGTGGCGGGCGCACGGCAGGCACATAGCAGGCGTACGGTAAGCGTATGATAATTTGCCCCCTTTGAAACAAGCTTAATGTTCTTATTGATCCATTCTCATTGATACTGTTGGAAATGAGGGTTTATAGATTGTAGAGGGTTTTGGCGTCCAATTGACATTCAAATGCTCCTGACTTGATGCCAATAAAGAGAAGAAGAGGGAAAGGCGTTAAAACGCTGCTAATTTGATGCTAATTGATATAGAGAATAAGGAGGAGAAGAAGGTGCTGGTCGCTCTACGGCGGCAAAAAGTTGTAAAGAAGAAGAGGAGGGAGAGGAGGCGTCCAAATGCTGTTGATCTGGTGCTGATTGGTAGAGAGGGAGGGCTTTAATTATACTATAAGCCTTAAACAGAGCTTTTTAAGATGATTTGCCTACTGTAGCTTATGCATCGCAAATAAGGCGCGCCCTTTCAGGAGTATCAACAGTAGTTCAAACCTTTCGTGGTGAGGAAAGGATGATCGAAATCAACGAATCAGGCTGTCGACAGTTTCTTCGACTGGTCTTGGGCGTTTTAGCCATTTTGTAGCTGATTTGGAGGTGATTTGGTGGAGCTGTGCGAGTTTGAATATAGGGGGTGGTTTTGAAGGAGGGCGGATGTCTCAAGAAATTCGACACCTAGCTCCGGGGCCTCCGGGCCAAAACCCAGCTCAAGCCGCCCCCTCCAGCAGCGTCGGATGCTCATACACCCCCTCGGCCTTCGATCGACACGAAGTTAGCGAATACCCAGTAATAACTGAATCCTACATCAGAACCCAACTCTCGAGCGATGAATCAAATAACAATACCGTCAACACTCCAGAACAAGAAGATGATGCAGTCTTCGAGGCATCACACCCTATTTCCGACTGGACGCCCAATCACAGTCTTTTCGCTTTTTCATGTTGGGGCAGTCTCTTCCAGGTCGCGTACCAGGTCCAGCAAGCATTCGGCTTTCAATCCAGTGTGAACGTAGATATGATCGGCCACCAACTGAACAGCCCGCTTGCCACCAACTGAACAGCCCGCTTGCCACCCACCATCGCGACTTCCTCTTGATATACCTTCCAGGCGAGAACACTACCCGTAGGCGCGCCTGCATGAGAGCAATCATGCACCAACGCAATATGAGAAACGAAGACATGTATTACGGCACCCACCAACTTCCTGAGACTGATGTTAGGAGCGAGGGTTATGCCAGGAACCGTACTTGATTGTTGGAACCGGAACATGGACGTATGCATGCTTCTGGATCTCAACCGAGGCAGGTTCAATTTCGAGACCTTCTGGAATCGTCATTTCATGGGCATTCGCTTAGCGCAGATCAGATACCTCGGTATCACTCCAGTGGAGCTCGCACCAGCACAGCGAGGTAGGAGTTGGGGTCGGAGTGAATGATGTCTGACGCCTTTTGCACCAGACAACCTTCAAGGTCAAACAATGTGTTCGAGTAACATGCTACTCCTTTTCAGCTCTCACTCGGTGAGAAGGCTTCTGAGCAATCGATTGTGCAGGATCAGAGGCCAAAGGTGCCCTACGAGAATCCAGTGTGGTTTGTGTCCTCTGGAATAAGTGATCGAATTCTTTGGGAACAAGCACACTCTGTCCATAGCTACGAATCCCATGTGCATCAGTTGCTACCCCTTTTCTCATTTTCATTTCTCTTGGCTGTGCTGGCATGATCGTATTCGTACTTTGCCCTATCCATCTCCTCATCAAGCCTCGTTGTACCAGGGCGCATGCAGAAGATGACACGCAAAACAGGGCCAAGACTGCAGGTACCTCAGCACCATAGAAGCAGATGCCAAAGAGAGCTGAAATTACGATCGAAGATTTAGTGTAGAACCGGTATCTAAAACGAGGCCAGCCGTGCGCCGTAGAAAAGGGTTCCCTAAGCCTCAAGCCTTGAAACCCTGCGGATGCCGCATTGTTAATGAGCAAGCCGACAAATACCGTACAGAGGAAGGGATCGAAAGCCGTCAGATCAGGAAACCAGAGCAGCCCTTCTGATGCCAGGCTTGGATCGGGGGCAACTGGATATGCTGCAACTTTCTCCGGAGAGGAATCTCCCCAACCGCTCATCCCCATCAGCACATAAACACAATTGGCCCAAACTGGCCAATAGAGCACAGGAAGCATAGCAACGTAGGGATTGTATTTGAGGTGCTTGGAAAACAGCATCGTCACTTCACTGTTCCCTCCTAGACTCATTGCTTTAAACTCTGAAGGGGCGTTCTCTCCCGCGTGCCTCGCTGCTTCCTGTATTTTCTTGATCCAGGCGTTTCGGTATGCTTCCCGCAAGGGCTCGCCCATGTCCATCTTCCGCTGGTTCAGGATGATGGCGTAGTAGATTGGGAGTGCGAAGAGGGAGCGGAGGAGGATTGCCGTGATGGGGATGGAGAGGCCCCATGGTAAGCCGCTGTAGTCATGGATGAGTGTCAAGATGTAGGACGCATAATCTGTGCCGGTTTGGGTCGCGAATAGGCCCATGAACTGGGCGAGTTTGGGGGAGTGGAAGTTGCGTGCGAGCGACGGTGGTGATGGTGGTCTAATGTGGTATTGGAGCTGGGAGCGCTTGAGGAGGGAGGGCTGCCATCGACCAACCAATGCTGCATGGTGGCGACGGTACATGGCCCAATTGGACTTGTAGGATGTAAAGCATTGAAGTTTTACGGTTTTGGATGCGGTCTCTTCCGAGCTCCGCAATGGATGATGGCTGGTGTTTGAGTTGTGATCATGGGTTTCGTCTGAACAAATGACTCACGCACGTGGGAGGGCAGCGCGTATGTATACATATACATATATGATTCTTGGGATACAATGCTTAATTCACAGAAGCATCACCACAAACACTGAACCCTACTTCCTTGGTAGCAATGATAGTCTCGAGGCATTACCATCTAACATTATGGCTGTTTTATTAGTTCCTGCGTTGATCGCCTCGATATCACTCTTGCCCCTGTTGGGCCTCTACATCCTTCGGTTTCTCCTCAAAACTGCTGGTGACCATCTGCGGAGAAGGACCAGCGCAAGAAGGGAGCTCATATTACAGCGTGTTCAGCTTGACGAGCAACATCTGTCATCAACCCGGGAAGCTCCTCAAAGAACGGAAGAAGAGGATTGGGAAAGAGTCGAAAGCTATGCTGCCAGCACAGCCGAGAAGAGAGCTACACATCAAGAGAAGGACTATGCCGGTGTGATAGGATTCTTCCATCCTTTCTGGTAGGAATTGTCATTGCTGTAGGGGTGTCAGCTAAAGCTGCATAGCAACGCTGGCGGAGGCGGTGAACGGGTCCTATGGGCGGCAGTCAGAGCAACACAGCAAAGATGGCCTCGGGCAGTGTGTGTTGTCTACTCTGGAGATCATGATGTCGACAAGGCTGCTATGATCAAGCGAGTGCATACTTCTTTTGGCATCTCGCTGCATGCGCCGACCTTGGTCTTCCTCTATCTGTCTACACGCCACCTTGTCCTAGCAAGTACATACCCTCGCTTTACGCTTCTTGGACAGTCCCTCGGGTCGCTTGTTCTAGCTTACGACGCTTTCGGCCTTCTCGTGCCAGATATCTTTATTGATACCATGGGGTATGCTTTCGCATTGGCGTTTGCCAAGTATCTGTTTCCGAAGATGCCCGTTGCTGCTTACGTACACTATCCGATCATCTCAACCGATATGCTGGGGAGTTTGGATGACAGGTCTGGAGGAAAGGGAGTCAACGCTGGCGCAGGAGCTGGATTGAGAGGGAAGGCCAAGAAAATATACTGGCGATTGTTTGCGAGGCTGTACGGTTGGGTAGGAAGCCACATCGATGTGATCATGTGCAACTCAACCTGGACGAAAGGACACATCACGGCTCTATGGAAAACCAAAAACCAACCGGACTCCTTTGCAAAGATCGTCTATCCACCATGTCCGGTAGAAGAAATGGAACGGAGAATCAATGTATCCGCCAATGCCGAAAAGGAACGAAAACATCAGATCCTTTACATCGCTCAGTTCAGGCCCGAAAAGAACCATCCGTTGATTTTACGGTCCTTTGCAGAATACGTCCGCAACCTACCCGAAGGCTCAGATCCAGCACAGTTGGTACTGATCGGTTCTGTGCGAAGCAACACTCCGGATGAGCTGCACATCTACAACCTCCGACTACAGGCTCATGAGCTATCGATCGACAAAATTACAGAATTCATCACCGACGCTCCCTACTCCACAATCCTAAAATACCTGCAAACCGCATCAATCGGCACCAATGGCATGTGGAACGAGCACTTCGGTATCGGAGTCGTCGAGTATCTGGCAGCCGGTCTGATCCCTGTTGTGCATGACAGCGGAGGACCAAAGCTAGACATCGTTGTTCCGCATGATGGCAAACCAACAGGATATCATGCAGAGACGGCGGCGGAGTTCGCCGAAGGCTATCGAAGGGTGATGCAGATGGAGCCAGAGGAACGATACGCAATGAGAGTTCGTGGACGAGAAGTAGCCAAGACCTTCACGGAAGAGGCGTTTGCGCGGAAATGGATCGAACAGGTGGAGAAGTTGATTTCGATGCAGACGGGGAGAGCATAGTCTTTGGTAGACTTGCTACGATTATTGATACCCCATTTATACTAGGTATAGCAGCGGAATGCGATAGCGCTTGACGATTCAACTTCACTATCCATTTTCTCGCTAAATCCTCAGGGAACACCAAAGGTTGACCGAGTATTTAGTAACGTACCCATGTGCCAAGCCTCACTAAAAGGGGCGGTTCTCTCGTCCGATCTTAAGTCCGCATTTTGCGCGATAAGCTCCAGCTCCAATCCAAACCATGCAGTTGGATTGCTTATCTCTTCCCCCTCAAACACCAAATAGAGACACCAAGTATAGAACCCCAGACGCAAGCCGCACCAGAAGACCTCCCCTCCTTTCGACCATATGGCGGCCATCCCCCTGACCGGCCATGAAGCCCTCTCCGGCATCCTAGGCTCCATCTCCATCGCGTGCTGGATCTTCCTGCTCGTTCGTCTCAGACCCCTCCAGCCTCCTTCTCACTGACCGAACAACGGTCTAGATCCCCCAGCTCCTGACCAACTACCGCAACACGTCCGCATCCGCCCTCTCGCTGCCCTTCCTGCTCATCTGGTTCCTCGGCGATGTCTGCAACCTCGCCGGAGCCGCCTGGGCGGGGCTGGTGCCGACCGTGATCGCGATCGCGGTCTACTTCTGTTTCTTGGACGCGATTTTGGTGCTGCAGTGGGGGTACTATCATTGGATCTACCGCGCGGGAGGGGTGGGGGAGGGCGTTCAGGGGAAGACCGATGCCGGTGCTGCTGCTGCTGCTGTTGCGGATGGGAAAGGGAACGGACATGGAAATGGGAGGGTGGGCGAGGGGGTAGATATGTTGGGAGAAGAGGAGCCGCTGCTAGCGCGCCAGAGGAGCGGCAGTATCACGATCCCGGGCTCGCAGCGGCCAAGCAGGAAGAGGCGGACATCCAGTTCTGCCACGGCCGGCTCTGCGACGAGGAGACGGAGCAGCCAAGCCTCGAATCTCCTGCTCGACCGGATTCTGGAGGAAGACAACCGAGGCACAGCCACGAAGACGTGGATGAAGAACCTGATTTCGATACTCGGTGTGATAGTGGTAGGCACAGCGGGCTGGGCGATTGCATGGGGAAGCGGGGCCTGGACGCCTACTCCCGTCGACTCCGGCTCTGGTGGTGCTGGTACAGGTGCCACCGGCCCATTCGGGGCGCAGATCCTCGGCTACGGGAGCGCGGTCGCCTACCTGGGAGCGAGGATCCCGCAGATTGTCAAGAATGCTCGCGACCGGAGCTGTGAGGGTACGTATTCAACATTCTATGCACTATTCTGCTTAGGCTCGTGGGGGATTCTTTTGGCTGATGGAACGATAGGACTCTCCCTCCTCTTCTTCATCCTCTCCCTAAGCGGAAACCTCACGTACGGTGCCGGCATCATGGCCCATTCCCTCCGTCGAGATTACTTACTCATGAACACACCGTGGTTGGTGGGCAGTCTCGGGACGATGTTGGAGGACGCCATTATATTCACACAATTTCATATTTATGCTAAGAACAGCGATGGCGCGGAGGAGGCTGTTGTTTGAGGCCCTAAGATTTCTGTTTTGTGTTTGCGAAAGAGTCGGGTGGGCGATTCGTATATTTCGCGTGGTTTGTGTAGAGATGGATGGGGTATACATGGAGGACGAGATATGAACAAGGCATATCTCATCGGTGTTGTTGTAATTACTGTACTTTACAGCCTTGGGGGGATGGGCTATTCGGGTTTTACATGTTTGCCTCGCGAGCTAGAGATACTGATTCGTATATCGGCAATGAGGTATGAATAATAAAGATTTGGATGCCCTGAAGAGGGAAAACTGTGAAAAAACCCCACGGTTCTGGCTTCAATCACGCTTGAATCGAAGTCCTGCATATTCTATCCCGTCTGGCGCGTTCCGAAAGGAACATTCGACATATCTCCATTCTTGGACACATCACTTCTAGTTAGCTGATTCGCCAGGGAAGCGATATTATCGTGTCCGTCACCTCCTCCTCCTCCTCCTCCTCCTCCTCCCGAACCTCCTCCTCCTCCTCCAACTCCCACCAAATAGGGTGTGGCGGAATGGATCAACTAACGTCGTCAAACGTCTGGAATTTTTGGACATGGTCTGTAATCTTTCCTGCCGTCACCAACGGCCTTCTCCGTCCACATTTTAACGAGTCATTTGGCAAAAATCAGAGGTGCCAGCTGAATGTTTATGTGAAGTTGAGGTTTAGAACACTCTGATAGGGTAACCTGAAGAGAAAACCTGGGCGCGGCGCGAGCACTGCTTAGACCTGGCTCCTGACACCGCTTGTACATGTAATGAGAGTCTTCATTGCTGCTTTGGAAATCGGAGCGGCCCATATAGTTGGCATCAAGGTGAGGATTTCAAGACCTGTTACAGCGGGTTTTACGCCTGCACCGAGCCTAGAGGACTGCTGGCTGTAGATCTGTAGGTTCGTCTACTGCTCTTCAATTCATCAAATTAAAGGGGCGGACCAGTCAACATAATGAAGAGAAGATCATGCACCCAAGGCACCCCATCTTGACTGCTTGAATTGAGACCATCATCATCATCATCTTCATCATCATCATCTTCATCTTCATCATCATCTTCTTCATCATCATCATCTTCATCATCATCATCATCATCTTCTTCTTCTTCCTTTTCTTCGTCACTTGAAACTCCATCAATTCGCATGTCTCCTTTCGGGTACAGGCCCTTTAGCATTCGCCGCCGAGCCAAATCCGTCAGTTGTGTGGATATGCATTCTTGACACCAGAGCTCACAAATGATTGCCCTCTTCCCAAGACGCTTGCTGATCAACGTTGCTGCAAGGCATGCCTGCCAATTGTTAGCTGCGCGGACCACCGCGGGACCGTTTGGAGGGTCCAGGAGTTCATCCCAATTATCAATAGACACAAGATCAGGAATTAAATCCCAAAGCCTCTCTGCACGACAGACGTGATCTGGATCGCTACATGCACGAACGTATAAGTAAGCATATGGATCCTCCATGAAGCTCAAATCAGCTATCCAACGGCCTCGATCATGGACAGAGATGAGAGTCTCCACATACGAAGCCGCAATATAGGCGCCACGGTGTCCCCCGGTTGTTTTCGGTAGACTGTATCCAGAGAATCCTAGATGAAGGGATGTCTCTTGAAAACTATCTTTAGCTATCCCATCAAACTCCATATGTGTGACCGTCTTCCAGCTCTCTGGATCAACGCTAAGGATTCTCGGGTCTGGTGGTGGCATGAGCAAAGAGAGCCCGATACGCCCAACGTTTCCAACGACCCTCCGCACGCTGAATTCTGACAGTGATCTATAGGTAGGGGCACGCAAAAGTTGCCCTGAGACATAGATAGAGTCACCAGAGGAGATAGCCATCACCTCTTTGAAATCATCCGGATCGAAGTCGAAGACTCCTGATTCAAACATTGTTATGCATGCAAATACAGGATTCGAGTTCCGACCGACGTACTCAGACAACCGGAAACGGCAAAGCTCTCGATCCAATTCTTGCCACACAATGCTCTTCAAGCCACGAGGTTTGCTGTTATCTTGAGCCCACTTTGCGTTTGCAAGGGTAATACTACCAGAAGTGGCAATGGTGGAGGAGATAGTTGCGCCAGGAAGATCGTGGTAAACATCGGCTGCCATACTCAGGACATGTAGAGAACGAACAATCTCACGTTGCGCTGCTAGTTCAGTCGCTGTTTGCGAAGTGTCTCCCAGTATGTGGCGCGAAGTGCTAAGAGGTAGTTTAGTCTCAGCGATTGACAGGAGATGCCTACGCAGCAAACAGGGATCGATCTTTCCATCCTCAAAACACTTGATAATATGATCGAGTTTGACGGTGTGCTTGAAGGACATGACCTTCGAAGCGCCTTCACGCACGTACAATGCAGCCGTGCGAGGATCTCCTGCGAGAAACTTAAAATTGAGTCGACTGTCAGAGCAGCACTCTGACGAGTAATCAATACCCCGTCCTTTTTTCCTCCGGTATTCTTGTGAGCTGGTCGAAGGCTCATCCTCGCCAAACCTTTGGATATCTTGCATCTCTACATCATAACCACATGTTTCAGTAGCTACTGACGTCGCTACACTTATCGCTGTCTGTCGCAAGTTTGCGCACGAGGACTTGTAGTAGCTTGGAGGCTCGGCCCAATTAAAGGAGAGATCATCGTCAGCCGTTGTGATATTTTCTGCATCAATTTCAAGATGGAGGTCTACCATTTCCGTAAGTGCCTCTGGAGTTGAAGGATCGAGCCTTTCGGTTGTGCATTGATCAGCTCTAATCAACTCCCAGCGCCCTAAGCGACAGTTTGGCATGGTCGCTTTCTGACCAGAGAGTGCAGAGGCATTAAGAGGAACAGCCGTCATGAAACTATACTGGACCGAGTTTTCACGAACTTCGTGTTCCGAATAATCCATTGGGGATATTTCGAGGTCGGCTATGGGAGCGACCGAACCACAGTTTCGCACCCTGATAACAAGAGAATGCGGATCAATGTTGCACTGCAGAGCAAGCTCGCGGAGAAATTCGACCATGTCGCCCTCCTTTCTCATCAAAGAGACTAGATTCGCTGTGTCAAGTCTCCAGACACCGGTGCAAGTTCCTTTCTTTGACGTGAGAAGAGGACCACGCCGAAGACCTAGACCTACGAGCCTCCGATACAGCTCCTTATCATCAGCAGCCGAAAGAAAGTCAGAAGCAGCTTTCCCTAGTAGAGTCATCCACTGGGTGTGATGGAAGGGGACGTCCTCGTTATCATCACGATCTCTGGAGGTGCGTGGAAGGCCATTTTGATAGCACAAATGCATCAAAGTGATAAGCTTGGCAGCTTTGTACACATTGGGCATTTTCACGCCCCAATAGCGAAATACACTGCCCAGTGCAACTTGCAGGAGCTGATCCATGGACAATCTTGCTGAATCTGACGTCAAACAATGTTTGGACATGACAGGGTCACCGTAGTACCGTAAATGGGCGAGAGCTAAAGACCAATAGACACCTCTGTCCTCTTCTTGCTTACTATCCAAGCCAAGGGTTAAGACGCCCCCAGGATGCACTAATTCATCCTTTTGATCAACTTTCTTCGAGTAATTTTCGCCAAAAACGATCATGTCTGGGTAGATATGCCACGCCGAAAGAGCCAGTACGATGGCACCATCTTGAATGCTATACGGACTGCCTGCGATCATCTCATCCATTGCTCTCATTGCGCTTGTCCAAGCTCGAACAACGCTATCATAGACCCGGTGTTCATTATTGACAGGCACACTTATGTTGTCAAGAATGAGCATAAGCTGTTTCTGTCGCTTCTTCGTGGGCTCGGCTTCATCAGCTGCACGAAGCCAAGCTCGAGCCCCGGAATCCCATTCAAACAGGTCCTCTTTGGATACAGAGAGTGATGCAGCCATGGCATCTTGAAAAGATCCAGCCTGGGCGGACTCTTCCAAATGCTTCTTTCGTTCGGCCACTAGTTCATCCCATATGGCAGTTGCTTCGGCAGCGGGAAATTGCCGAGCAAGAATGCAAGCTAAGAGGTGGACTGCAATTGCCTCTGGACCCGATGTAGCTGCGGCCCAAATAGTTGTGCCATCAATACCAATGTATTCCTCGAAAGCACCATAGGTTTTATCTCTCTTTGGATTGACGTTTGAGGAGTTGGAAATCTCTGATGTACGGAGGCCATAGACCTTTATCAAGCGTGGCGTCTTAGGAAGCGTGGATGCAAACAGGGAGCCAAGCTTCCGGGCTGTTTTATGGCTTGAGCCTTCTTCTGCAACTTTCCTTCTCTTGTTGGACAGCGCTACCCCTAGCTCGTTATACTCCACCGGAGCCGCAACTCTAAACAGGGAGAAGTCGAAGTTGCAAGTGGCAAGGGATAAGTTCAGTTCTGGCGAAACAAGCGAAGCCTGAACTTTTGCAAGAGAGGCCATAGGGTCGAGACTCCTCTAGGGTCAGGCATAGTAAATTGTGCAAGACGAAAACGCTGACGCAGCGCCAGAGAGTTATGAAAGAGACAGGCTTAGGAACAACGAAGAGTTTCTGAGAAGGAGACCTCGAATGTGCAAATAAATCTGTTACTGGTGAAACCCTAGTGAAGTTATATCAGACTCGGCTCAGAATTTCAGCCTTGTAAAGAAGAGCGGCGCTTGAAGACATCAGCCCGCCTGTACTACTCGGTGCTGCCTAGAAGTCACCCGCTAAAGCGATGTATAATTTCATAAGAAATGGCCGCTCTGATACCTCCTATTCGTGCTCCTAGCGATCAAAAGTTATGAAACATCTGCTAGCGTCCACGGAGACTTTTTGGCGGCACCCACATACAGGTACAGAACAACTATATCCAAAGAAGTTAGATGTGATAATAGATATGATAATTTGAATCATCAGAACACTACGTAGATGCACACAGGACAAGCCATTTTCTAACGAATCACAATACTGTGTGCCCGTAACAAAGAACTAGCCGCCATTCTACAAACATTTATCGACACCAATACAGAGATGGGTCGAATGACCAGAATCAAGCAATTTTCGTTTCCACAGTGCCTGTTTGAGCTATTTCAATCAGTTCTATCTCCAATCAGCGCCAGCAACATTTAAGTAATAGAAATATGCTCTGAGACCAAAAACAACCAGCATTTTGTGTTGCAGATGGAGGTTTGTTACACGAGCCAGTCACCCACGTTCCTTGGAGTAGATCATTATTGGATTAATCCTCGCTGATAATTCTCCGCTTACAAGTAAGTAATCGCTCGCCACCAACAAAAACCTTCCACTCTGGTAATGCTTCAGCAGAGCAATTGTGTATATACTTTTTGTCTCTAATCTATCTCTTAAATCTTCACATTCCATTTCCACTTCCACCCCAAGCAAGCCCACCGACTTAATACAAAACAGATCAAGGACAGGAAGAGCACAGCGCAAAAGAATCCAGCCATAGGTTGTGGCCCCACCGTTTCCACCAATTCACCACCGATAGGTATACACACTAAAGTGGCCAGGCTTGCAATGAAATAGCAGGTCCCAAAGTACCTTCCAAATTCCTCTGCACGGCATAGTTGCCCAACACAGACGGGGACCAAGGCCATCCAAGAGCCTGTGCCGAATCCGAAAAGTGCAGCGAAGATATAGAGAGCTGTGAGGCTATTCGAACCGAAAGGGAGCCAGATTACGAGCATGACGATCCAGGTGAGGAAGAGCATGAGGAGCAACATGTTGAAACGGCCAACGTAATCAGAAACAAACCCGGGTAGGATCCGTCCGAGACAGCTAACGCCATTCATTATTGAGATCACGTAAAAGCCTGTCATGGATGGATAGCCCTGGAGGCTGCTGTACGTGGGCAGAATTCCGAGACTACCGAACAGAACGATCTCAATACCCCACACTGTTAAGACGAATAAAGTGAAGCGAGCGTCGGCGAAGAGGTGGAAAGACATCACACCTCTCTTATTCTCCTCAGCAGATGGTGGGCCGGGTGTGAGCCGACCTTTCACGAAAATGTTGCCGATAATCAGGCAGGCCAGCATTGCGAGGGCGAGAATTCGAATGGCCCAAGCCCAGCCGTAGCGGGGAAATGTCGCTCGCAGTATCAGTGGAATAAAAGTCCCACCGATGGTGTTTCCGATCATAGCAAATCCTGTTGCCCGACCCCTGCGTTTATCAAACCAGTGACTAACTGCGGATAGTCCGGCTGTTGTGATCAGCGCAGCAGAAGTGCCACCCACAACGCCGAGGCAGAGCATGAAATGCCAGTATTTTTTACACTCTGCCAAGGCAAACATCGTTATGATATATATGATGCTTCCAACAATAGTGAGTACACGAGGTCCATATCGATCGAACAATGGACCAACCCAGAGGCCAAGGCCAAGACCAAGGTAGACGTATACTGATGGGATCCAGCCAATATCTCTGATGGAGTAGGCTTTCAATTGATGCTCGCGCCAGTAGTCTTGTAGTGTACCAACCGAGACCATGAGACCGTAGGAAGGCAGCAGAAGAAAGAATGAGCCTAGGACACACAACCATGCTTGAAGACCTCCTTCTGGAAATGCCTCTGGCATCAACGTTTCACCTCGAGTGATTGCCGTCACCCCAGCAGCGGCTGGTGAGGTGGTAGTGTTCTCTTCATCATCGCTTTTCTTGACGTCTTGCGCGACTGGCGTGATCGTTCTGATATCATTTTCAGAAGTCCTCGAGCCAATTACTCGCAATGATGGAGCGAGAGCGGGCTCCATAAGGAACCAATTCGCTTGCCGCGTGTAGTTCGACTTGAAGTCGCGGACGCTCTGTCGAGCGAACGGATGCCATTATGACTCAGGGTCGGCAAGCAGAATTACGTAGATGATGCGGTTGAAAGTGGATCTTTGGCCATAAGCTACTGCAAATGGCAAGGGTTTCGAGCGGAGCTGGTTAATTAAAGCGACAGGGAGCTTTGGGCCGGATCTCGGCATCCACTCCGGGTTTTCCGGTATCAGGGAGACCCACAGAAAATGATAGCAGCATGATGTACCACGTTGAAGGATGACGATGTGCACTGGAAATGAGCTAAAGGTACAAGATCGACTGGAAAGCTTCCGTCTTTCAGATGAGGCAATGAAATGTCTGAACCGAGTCCGACAATTGTAAATGCTGCGGAACCTGATTATTTCTCTGGTGGGAGCAATGCTGGACTCCAACTCCCATTTTTACTTTCTTCCAAATGTTCAAGTCGACAGCCAGTCCAGGAACTCGGGTGTAAAATAACTGACCACTATACCTGCACCAGCCCTCAAAATTCCTTCTGTTGATTCGAACGCCATGGTCTTTAAATCAAATACTCCCGCTTTAGCCCCAGCGTGAATCATAGCAAACTCCCCGGACACTTGATAAGCAGCAACGGGCATGTCTTTGCCTATCTCTTTGGCATCGCTGATTATATCCAAATATGAGCTCGCTGGCTTTACCATAATGATATCAGCGCCTTCCCCGATATCACGCTGGATTGCTCGACGAGCAAGTCCTCGACCTCCTGGAGGTAGTTGATAACATTTTCGATCACCAAATGAAGGACACGATCCTGCCGCATCACGAAAGGGTCCGTACAGGCACCCAGAGAATTTTGCAGAATACGACATCAAGTTGACACGATGCGCAATTCCAGCTTCGATCAGTTTCAGCTTGATCGCCCTCACACGGCCATCATTCATGTCAGATGGGGCGACACATTGGGCCCCAGCTTGAGCATAGGCCATCGCAACATCGGAAATGCGCTCAACGGACATGGCGTTGTTGAGTGAGCCATCCTCTCGCAGAATACCACAATGACCATGTGACGTGTACTCACAGAGACAAACATCTGCGACAATGAAAAGTTGAGGGAAATTGCGGCGCAGAAGTGCGATGGCTGACATTACTGGCCCTGCTGGATCATCCGCTGCGGTTCCAAGTGCATCTTTCGCCGTAGGTTCGAGGGGGACCCCAAAAAGAATCACTGAACGCAGCCCTTTCGCCACCAGCGGCCGTAAGAACGGCACTATCCGGTTTAAGCCTCGTCGATGTTGATTTGGTAGAGAAGGAATGAGAGTTTCTTCGTCCGGATTGTCGGTGATGAAAAGAGGATAGATGAGCATTGCCTGTACTTGACGATTAGCCAGAACCTCCAAAAAGAAAGATTGGACTCTTACTTTGGTCAATTGTCGTTCTGCTTGCCATGCTCTTGTCAGCGGATGGCTGTAGCCGCCATGTAACTGACTCGAAATATCGCCTGCTATACTGACGCTTGTTGCGGACGTTGAAGCGTATGATCTGGCGACAGAGTGTGGAAGGGACAGCTGCGAACTGCGCTCATCACTGCGCGAGTCGCGGAAAGCAATATCTTGAACCAAGGTTGAAAACGACATGGTATCAAGCTGAAGAAAAAAACAAATGCGATGTAAGATAAGGATTCGAGAGTAAATACTGGGTCCGGTGCAGCAAGGAGATTCGGACACAGGAGACGCAACTGTTATGGTGGATTTCTCAGGAGACGATCTTGTAGGACGAATGGTTGTAGAGAGAACGGTTCGTGTCAAGGCGTACTATGTGAGGGTTTCGGAGTACTTGTCCACAATTATAAATTGGAGTGTTATGCAGAGCCAATGCAGGGACTTTTCAGCTTTTGATGTCACCCGGAGCAGAGATGACTTTTGACACAATCTCATTGGTGCAGATGCTTCCGGACTCCGCTCCGATCCTATCACAAAGGGAGGTCTGCCTTGCCTAGCCGAGGCTCTCTTCAGTATCTTGAGGTGGTACGCTTGGGAAGAAGCTTCCATTCGGAGCTATTCGTGTCTTATCTATGGTCTTCACTGATTATTGTGTCTATCTTGTCACAAAATATCTAAAGTCGGATCAACGCTTCAGTGACCAATTAAAGCTGGATCTCATCATTCAGCAGTCTGACTTCTTCTCCAGGCTTGAATGCTGGGAGTCCAATGTAGGGACAGCCATCGCACCTGAAGGCGTCTCCTAAGCTGCAATTTCCGCAACTTCCAACCTTACCCTTGACTGTGAAATCTACCTCTGCAAGATCATCGGCACCTAGTTTCAATGTATTCAATGCGAAGTCAGCGTTTGCTCTTTTGGCTTTGTCCTCCGCTTCAAGTTTCTGCGCAAGACCACACGTGCAATCTTTACAAGCTCTGCGTCTCTTTCCTGCTTTAGGCTTGCATTCGGCAGCTATGTCTCTCGAGTCAGGGTTATTGAGTACATTTAAGAAGGGTAGAGCACATACGAATCTTAACAGGTCTAATGAGATCCTCGTCGGTCAGCAAAGTATCCTCATCGATAAGTTCGTCCTCCGAATCGTCCAACTCAGGCTTGCCCAGGTCATCGGAGAAGTCCACGAAGCCTACCCCAGCTGGTGTGGCGCCGCTGATATCCTGGCTCTTACGCTTTCCGGTAAGGGCCAGCGATATTGACTGCGTATTGTCCCTATTGAACCCTCCTGCAGCTTGTGCAACAGCCTTGTTCTTTGCGAATGTAAGAGGGACAGGCGCTTGTGCTCCGTAATCAGGTTTAATAAAACCTTCACCGACCTCATACCTGAGGCCTGCTAATATCGCTTCCGTTCGCTCTTGACCCTCACTTACGCCAAACTGACCGTCCTGACTCCTCAATTTGCCCGATGTTTTAAGGGCTCTAACAAGCAGAGCAAATGTATCGCGATTTAAAAGACTTTGACCTTCTCTTCTTGACCCATCAGCATCAGTAAGAAGAAGTATGACGTCGTAGGTTGCCTCTGGAAGCGATACAAGACCAAGCGAAAGTCGATCTAGCATTTGTATATCTGTCGCAGCTCGATCATGCGCCTCGACGATATTTTCCAGCCTTTCTTCGTGCGAAGATAACGATGGAGGTGCAAGGAGGAGGGTTCGTGGCATCGTCAACTGACTTTTGGCCGAAAAGGATTTGAAATTTGTTGAGTTACCGATGGCGATTGCAGGCGCCATACTTGGTTCGAATTCGTTGCTATTGATATGGGAGGTGTTGACAGCTACAGTATTGCGTACAAGATGAAGTTGCCCCGCGGGGAGGCTGGCTTTATGGAATTGCTCGGCTGCGGGTAGAATACATATATTGGTGAGTTGCTTTGTCAGATTCGAAAATCCAATGCCATGAACCCTTTTAGTGCTTGGCGAGCTAAATCCCTGAAACGGTTCTTTACTACCTAGAGATGGTGTCATCGGATGTTCTCCACTTAGACAGACTACCTGCTTTAACAGATCCTAAATAGTCGTAGCAGTCGATCTACCCGGGGTCCTTAGCTTAACTCTGCACTACTGATCATTGATATGATTGAACAGACAGCACTGAGATTGTTAGTATCGGAGAATTTCCTAATCTCAGGCTCTACCGTAGTATTTGGTGTTCTTCAGTTGGAGTGTTATTATTCATGTTAGATTTGTGAATATCTTACTGCCTGCTTGCTCCCTGAAGTATGAATGTCGCATTGTTTCGGATATAGTACTCCGTATGCACATGGCTATTGCAGTCGGAAATCAAAATGCAGGCCCAGACGTTCACAGATATAACAGAGGCCCACGCAGGGAGCCTATAGTGTACATGGAGGACAGATTTTCCATACTGTTCATACCATGTTCTCCCAACAAACAGCTGCCCATCTTGATGTAAGAATAACGTTTGTCAATTCAAGTTACATGGCAGAGAGCGTTGTGTCTTACAAGTCTCTTTAGGCAGCTCTTGACCCCATACATAGCAAAAATTTTACTAACTAGTAGTAGCGCTTAGCCGTTGGAATTGCCCCACTTCGGGTGCGGGGGCTAGTGCCGTTTGGGACGTCTCTAACCCCACCCTTGTACTTGGTAGCTCCTTGGACCAGCTGGAATCGGAATTTTCTACGTATCTGTAAGGGACTCTTGCCCAGCTCCAAGCACGCAGACTCAATTATAACGACACCTTCAATCCCCAACCGCTCTGCAGCTTCGCCTCAAAGCCTAAATCCACTCTTATCAAAGGTAAGAGCAGTTTTGTGATTAATGACGTGCATTCCTTTGCACCTTGCATCATCCCACTCGGGGCCCGGGAAGCTTGGACCACCGCTTGTGGTCACGAGAGCTATGTCCCCTTTGACTGGCAATCCATCTTCATCTCAGCTGCAGTCAATAAACATTGCTGCTTCTTCTTGACACACCCTACCATCACTGATACGACATCACAGAACTTCCGCTGAATAAGACCTTGCCCTTTACCCATCAGTAAGTCACGTATCTCTCTTCACCTTCTGTCGCGTGAGGAGTTTCATTGCAGCCCAACAAAGGGATACAAAGGCTGCTCGACGTAGCTTCAATTCCACCTCACTGCTTCTTAGGCTAGACAGCTCAGGCCAAGATCTGTTGAACATAAGCTAAACATCGGCTTGCTAGTGACTCGCACCGAAAAACGCAACGATCGAAACCATACCGGCCTCGCTGACGGGACTGCTACTGCTGAAGACCACCTCCCTCGATATTTCGCCAAATCTGGCCATCCCGACGCTGATCCCACTGCCATCAAGAAGCAAGGTGGTGGCAAGGGCAACTGGTATGGTATCCTCCCTACCTGCATTCCAAATAGCTGGTCTCTGATCATCATAACTCCACAGGGGCAAGCCTGGTGCCGAAATGGACGATTATGGCTACAAGTTCGCCAACTCCCGTCGTCGCTCCAACAGCAGCACTCAGGCTCTAGGGGACTTCAAGACCAAGTTCGAGGCGGTTGATCAGGATCCAGTCTTCGAGGAGGAGGTTCATGGACCGACCCGCACCAACACCGAGGATAGCAACACACTTGAAAAGGAAGAAAGCACCGATACCAGCACCGTTGCCGGAAGCGTTGAGGAGGAAGAAGGAGCAAAGAAAATTTGAGAGGGAGATCTAGATGTAGCTGCAGGATGCGGCTCATCTTTATATGGCGGAACGTGCCCCTGTATACTGTCACGATCATTCATGAGCAAGCTCTCTAGCTAGTCTGCACGAAGGTACGACCCAGCTCGATTTAGCTTGGCTTTGGCTCAACAGTGAGTCGCCTCAATAATATGTCGTAACATTCAAACCAACAAATTTCACATCACCAAACCAAACTCGTGGATTGTGTAATCTATTCACTCATCATACACACCCAGCGAAATCAGGAGGGTTCAAAAGGACTAACTATTAGAATGTAGCTGACTGGAAGTTGGATAAATTTCCGCAGCCTCAGAGGCTAAGACGCATGATACGGGCAGCAGCATGCGGGTGGTTGCCCAGAAAAAGTCCATATTAGAACTTCGATCTGATGAAAGGATGCTTTAGCCAGGAGAGGGCCCTTTGCCTGTGTGAAGTTGATTGTGTAAGGAATGCAGTTTTGGAAATTTTTGTTTCGTGCGATCTCTCACCTCGCTAGCGCGGATCCCAACCTCCAGAAATCTTGGCAATTGAATGGTGAGAGCCGAGGCATCTCAGTCTTTTTGGCACCAACCACACCTCTGCTATGGAGGAGCTCCCTCCAACAGCTAGCCTGGCGTGGAATAGGTCCGGCTTATTACTTGAACGAAGGTTTTTATACCTGTCTGTACGATTCTATTCTCATCCAGGGAATGGCGGGGACCTCAGCATCAGTATTGGCAAATGATGATGTGAAAAAAAAGTGACCGGCAAGGTAAGGCCGAGCATTTACAGTGTGCCTGTTCATTGTACAACCATATCTCGCACGATTACTAAATTCTGCTTTGCAAAAACTGGGTACCGGCGCAATGGAGCGAAGCAGAGAGGTATCATTGGCTTTCAATCAATACTTTCGTGCTCCCTTCCCTAAGAGCGAGCATCGTTGAGCTAATTGCTTGATCACGTCAGTTGAAACGCACCATTCCATTGAAATTCCCTTTTGCGACTGAGATAATCACGGGCTTTGATCATGTCGCCTGGCCTGGCCGTTTGGTTGGGAATGTCTTTCGCTTGTTTAGCAGATGGGTTCGGTGGTGTGCATGCCGCTATCGGATCTGGGAACCCAAGATCGAACCGCATCTCTTTTGGGTCATAAAGAACTAGGCCAGCACGGCAATCTCCCTAGGGTTTCCTGCCTGCACTGACTAGCCTTTCCTTCCGGTAATAGACAAAATTCCATGTGTATGCTCCAGGGTTTTCTGAGGCACTTGATATTGTTCCGAGGAGTTGTTCGCCTCCCTTTCCTTGACTCCTCTTCTTTTACCAACTTACCACACACACTCTCTCCCAATTGTGGGTGTTGGGTCTGCTGGTCTTCTTTTCTAGATGGAAGGTTCGGAATCAACTCTGCTTGTGTCCGTAGATCAATTATATGCCATCAATCGTATGGGCAGAGCGTCTAACAGATGTCTCTATGGCAATCACCCAACAATAGACCCTGAACTCCGTCTTGTTGCATTTGTAGGCAAATCAACAATGACAGACATACACATATGACGGAAGGCCACTAGAAGCATCTACGGCCACTATCCAGTATCAAGCTTCCCTCCTTGACATTCTCTTCAAGAATCTATATTTAGACAGAAGTGGATCGCAGGAGGCCACCTTAGACATCCGCCATAGCTGTTCAGTAGTAGAACGTCTTTCTTCTGCATTCCAGTCATGAGAAATGGTTACAGATCGAAACACGTACCAGGAGGCCGCCAAGAGTGTTCAATACAACTTCTGAAGAAGAGAGCTTGTTTCCTCAATGTTATATTCATTGAAGCATGATGCAAACAAAAATATATGACAGGAGATCACCAGAAGCCTTGGCTGCAGATTGTTGATGACAAAGTTTCTTTTTTATAGATTTTAAAATATCAGATATTGTAGTGGAATAAAATGTAGCGAGAAGCCACCTGGAATCTCTACCACCACTGTCAAGTGACAGACTATCCTTTTTGTAAATTCTCGTGGAAAATTTACTGATGAACAGAAAAATGCAGAGGGGGCCATCAGAGGCCTCTATCACAGCTGTGTAACAATGGATTGTGATTCTTGCAGGTTCTGATGAAGGAAGAATACTAACAGATGGAAAAGCACTGGTGAGGACCACCAGAAGGCTTTGCCGCATAGGTTAGACAACAACCTTACCTGCATGAAGATTCTGCACAGCTCGAGTACAGAAATGCAAATGTGTATTCGAGGAGCCCACCTGTTGGTTGTATTTCGAAGTAGGCTCACAATAGTCGTTGCTTGTTGCTCCTCCCCTTTAAGGCAGTTTGACCCAGTAAGAATGTAATGCCATCTTGGGCAAGACCACTGCCACCGCAACTGCTATACTCATGTTTGCTGTTGCTCTTGCCTTGGGAGATAACGACGCTAATTCGTAGCCATGTAAAAAGTAATCTGCAGCTGAAGGAAGAGTTTCTTTCTCTAAGCGGCGGCAGTACCTTGATATTGATGATGTGCAGTGTCAACAAGTTACTTTTTTTCTATACAGGATGTCTAGTTACAACCCACTCGAGCATGGTTCTGGCTGGGCCATGGTGGCCTTGACCTTTGTTAGTCTATTGATCACTGCCCTCGCGAAGGTCGTTTCGATGAAATTCCCCGATGCGGCAGAGATAGGGGCGCGAAAGCGTCACCGAGAGACTGTTCTGCTGGCCGGGTGGGCGGCGCAGCAACGAGTCGAGGACCTCGACTATCTTGTGTGGGAAGCATATCGAAGATATGCAAAAGAGGCGGAGGAAGAGGAGCGAAGGCTGGGACATACCAGCAAGTCGATCTTTGGTACTGGGAGTGGTGACCCCAGTGCTATGAATAAAGACGATGAAGAAAAGGAGCCGAGGCGCGAGGCTGTGTGTGCCAGCCCTTAGCAAAGCCCGGCATCCCATCGAGGGCGATCTGCAAGACGTCCTTCGACAACACCAACAAGGGCCGAGACCACGCTTCGGACCGATGGATCTACTCCCAGCGTGACGTTTGATCGCTGGTCTCGAGAGAGAATCGACCGAATTCGTGAGGTTTAGGCACCCTTGTGATTCCTTCCCCGGCGGTAGACGAAGGGAAGGTGGAGACTATACAGAGAAGAGGGCCCGATAGGGATACCGGCTGCGTAGCTCCACATCAGCGAAGAGTTCACACCTTTACGCGGTGCTGATGATGACCACTCTCATGTCGAACACTCCAATAACACGACACGAGAAAGGCAAGATGAACTCAACCACACGAACAAAACCAACATAAGGACGAGACCTGCACACACCACACATCACATTACCTGCTTGCTACCACCTCCGAGCAGCACGAATTCATTTCTGCACGCTGCGGGCCAGACATGTGTGTACCATGGTGCCCGCCCCAGGGTTTCTCACATCCATCACCTCCTCGAATACCTTGGAGGCAAATTTGACCAGCGAAACCCACAAAATCGAAACGTCATAAAGGCATCCAGACTTCAGATACCCTGGCACCCACCACAGACATTTTTTTCAGTCATCGCCTGCCCAAAATCCATATCATTGATTGAACAATTGAAACAAATCAAACTCTTCCCAGTCTCTTGCTGCCCACCGGATACTTTGGCCAACATCCACCACTTGGTCGAAGTTGAAACGTTGACGGATCATCCTGCACGCCAGTCTCTCAAGGACCCTGACAAACCATCAACCCTAAAGTATAAGTCGGCGCACCCAAGCTGTACACAACAGCTATCCTCCAGAGCCACCTTATGGTTGTCCTTCGTGCCAGTGCCCGCTAAAACTTGTCACTAAATACTGCACCAAGCCTCTTCGGTACTAGCTAGCCCGCTTGCATTCGCCCAGTCCTCAACACGACTGAATAGTACGGATACTTTCGTGCTGAACAGCCACCACAAAACCCCAGCACTCCTCTGCCATTACTGCATCTTGCATACTTCCTTTACTCTCTCTCAATCTTTGAACGATCAATTGATCTGTGTGGTTCGGCATCTTTAGACTGATATCACATCTGACTTGCCCGGGATGTGTTGGGAGCGGTGCATTCGCGG